GAAGGTCGAGAGCGGAGGCAGGAGCTGTTCTTGAAGTGGCGAGCTACATCACTGTTGATTGATATGTGGGGTTTAACGTCCCAAAACCACCATATGATTATGAGAGACGCCGTAGTGGAGGGCTCCGGAAATTTTGACCACCTGGGGTTCTTTAACGTGCACCCAAATCTGAGCAAACGGGAGCTACATCACTGTTATGTCCGGTGTTGTCGTCGGCCCATAGACGTACGCGTAGGTCCCGGTAGTCCAAAAAGCTCAGACAGCCTCGAACGGTTAAAAACAAGTTTATTCCTATTCGGATGGAGGCGGCGGCCGAACTGCCGGGGTAAACGACGGTGGCTCGTTTGCGCCGAGCGGGGGAAGGGGAGGAGTCAACATCTGGAAGCAGTTTCAGCATCCGGTCCTTCGCGGGCTCGGAGACTCGCTCGTGACACAGGGGTGCTTGGAACACAACAATCACTGAAATCATGAATTCTTCATGGCGCACTATGTGTATGTATGAATTACGTGCACCTTTCGCGAGGAGTGAGGCATTTCTCAGTTTCGGTGGCACATCAGTCCCACGGGTTGGCTGAAGTGCTGTAGCAACCTCCCGCGCATTGTCCACGAGCGAGATAACGTCGTTCTGAAAGCTTTCTAAACTCAGGACTCGCGGATGTATATTTGGTTGCCGACTGCGGCTCACTCTTGAAATGATACACTCTTAAAAAAAAGGCAGTGCTATTTACTAACTTTGAGGTAGTAAATTGTTGTCACAACATTCACTACCTAAGTAGTAACTGCCGGTAGTAGACCACAGACGTTTACTACCTTAGAAGCAACCAGAGGTAGTAAATATCTGCGGTCTACCACCTGCAGTAACAACTTAGGTAGTGAATGTTGTGACAACAATTTACTACCTCAAAGTTAGTAAGTAGCACTGCCTTTTTTTTTAAGAGTGTATACACTTCCCTTTCGGCGTAAGGTATTCGCCAGTCGTCTATTCTGATGCTTCTCTCGGAGCGTATTACTGCACCATAACCAGCCGGAAACAGTGTCTAGTGGCTGAGGTACTCGGCGGCTGACCGTAGGACGTGGGATCGAATCCCGGCTGCGGCGGCTGCATTTCTGATGGAGGCGGAAACGCTGTAGGCCTGTGTTCTCATATTTGGGTGCACGTTAAACAACACCAGCTGGTCGAAATTTCCGGAGCCCTCCACTACGGTGCCTCTCATATTCATATTGTGGCTTTGGGACGTTAGACCCCACATATCAATCAATCAGCAGGAAACAGTGAAACGGATCTCATTCACAGCTAACACAAGCCTAAAGGCGCACCGCGAACGCGCATAATTAACTACAATGCAATGTACTGCGCAGTGTATCCGCTGTGAGACAGGGCTGAGTGCACCGGGCACATGCAATGCTCACTGATGATCACAACAGGACAAACTTTGGCTAAGTTACGCACATACTTTCCTTACCGCCGCATTAAGGTATGGTCATATCAGCGTCGTTTCTATTCGAGTGCGTGGATTGGATCGAACGTTATCTTCAGAGACGAAATTCGTCGCGAGGTCACGCGGTTATTTAGAGCAATGGTGCATAACAGTCATACTTAAAGAAAATTGACGTGTTTGTACATGTCTAGGTACTTGTCTTTTATCACCTGTACTACACAGCAACAACTTTCGGTTATATACGCCCAGTGTACAGTACTAATTACCGATTCGCTTACGAGACAACTTCAGATACTTTTCGTTGTCAGTTCTCATTTTCGTATGAATGTCACATCGTCACAAAAGATTGATCTCTGTTATGGTCGCGAACGAGGATGACGAGGTAGAAACCATCTATTGAAGCCGAAGCTCGCGTAGCGGCATCGTTACATCGTATTCATGGAGCACCGCCATCTGTACAGCGTGAGACGAACCTGTCACTCGCGTGCAAACAGCGCGAAAGACACGGTTTCGTATAAGCACGGCGAAAGCATTCGCTACAAACTGAACTGTTCCTCCAAAAGAAGGGAGCCTTCCCACGAGACAAACGCTCGCCTGCAGCCACACTCTCACCCGATTCCTCTCAGGACACGGATGTTCTGCTTTTCTCTCCAAGGCCTGCTTCCTTGCTACACACGCGGGGCGCTCTCGATATTCCTTCCTACCGGTTGAACGATCCATAAATAATTTAAACCTTCCCGCGAGCCGGCTGCCTCGGAAGAAACGCTTTCCTTTCGCGCGGTGCCAAATGTGTCGGCACACGACACAAAAGAGCCACCCAAGCTTCGAATAGCGAGTTTCCCGACGCGAAGGTAGGGAGGGTTTAATCACAGTGTGTGTGCGCGTGTGTACGCCTGCCTAACCCAGAGCCGCGGGAGCTGAGGCCTGCAGGACACACAGGAGTTATTCATGAGCGCCATGGGAGAAGAGCGAGGGGTGTCCGTTGGAGCGCGATCGATGGTCCGACCGCGCTCTCTCCTGTGTATGCTCTGCGCACGCTCTTTCCAAGCGCCGGCCAGAAGAGCGACGCAAAGAGAAGTATACGCCACGCCGGCTCCGAGATGGTGGGGGCTCGCCTTCGTGAATATTTGAACGACGTCAGTGCGGCCACCACGGCTCGCGATAGAAAGTCCTTCTAGCCCCCTCACCCAACTTCGTATCTACACGTTCCATTCCAAGTGCGGGTTAGAGCCACTAAACTTGCTTGCCTTTGAACCTGGGGATTGCGGCTGAAACGTGCGCGCGCGCTGTGTAGCTCTGCTCGCCTGTAATATTTTACTCAGTAAAGTAGCTTACGAAAGAGTGTCTAGGATCGTACGTCCCTTTCGCGCTAGTGTTTAGGGAGAAATACCATAAAGTAGGGCCTTCACTGTATTCACGTCTCATGGAGCGGCTCTAACACTCTTGTGCGTGTTGCTTCGTTCGAAGAAGCTCCACTATACAGAGAGAGAAGTTTCGGTGCTCGAAACAAAGCCAATAGCCCCTTTCCTTTTGAGAATCTATGCACTAACTCTAAGCTCGTTTCGTGATATTTAATGCTTTACATTGGCTCACTTGAGCATCGTGTCGCAACAACGTCCTGGTGCAGCTGACCATGACTCATTGGTTGAGTAATCGTGAGACCGCGTAACGATGGAAGAATCTTGTTCGCGACAGTTTCGAAAATTGGACGCGGGCGATCAGGTGCCTTTTGCGTGTTGCCCAACCATCCTCTGTATTGGTAACCTTTAGCTTCTTGTATCCCGTTAGACTAAGTTCAATCTGGTCTGATCAGGTTTACTAGGTTCTGACTGGCAGGTCTTCTTCCACTGATACCAATCAGGGCGTCGATTCTGTGCGCGACTTTTTGTGAAGCAGCCTTTGTATTTCGCAAGTGCTGGCTTTGTCGCAATGAAAAGAGCGTCGAGGTCACATCGTTAGAAAAAAAAATTAAAAACAGTAAAAGTCAGTGTCGAAGTAGTTGGCTTTTTCTGGGTCGTTGGGTGCTTGCAGAATTTTCAAAGATGCATATAATGGTTGCACAACATTCACGCATGTGTGGGGTGGTAGAGAGGGTCAAATGTCTTTTTTCTTGCCCTCGCCAAAAAAAAATATTGCACGTGTGTCCGTAAGGCTCAAGCACATATGTAAAAACGCGCACACGAACATATGCATGGTTGAACCGTTGAACCCCCATACCCTTTCTATTCCACAAACATTTGTAGGAACGCCAGTGGTAACTAACACAGTGAAGCCTTCAACCACCACCAACCGTTACGTGGTACTGTTTATTAATGTGCCCCAATTTTTTTTAATATCTTTTTGAATGCGTCAAACTTTCGTGTTTGATGTTTCGCATCAGAGCTGTTATGGTGGATGTTAACCATCTGTCGTAGATAAAAAGGTTATCATCACCACCAGCAACCACCATGCGCTAACTAAGCGCCCAGGCATTCTGTACATATGGTTAACAAGAGAAGCTGAAACGTGCCCACCAGCTCTGCCAGCCTTGCATGACTTAGTGCGAGCAGGAGATAATATATTGATATCTGAAGCCATATGTGTCGGCCCTCGTTTACTGACATATTTCGGCGCTCACTGGCTTCTTATTTCATCTGTATTTTCTTATCCTACTATTGAAGCAGCAGGCTATAGATAAAGCTAATTCAGACCAATCCGCACATAGGTGTGCGCAAGAAGAAGCAGGGTAAAGCCCCCCCCCCCCCCCCCGACTCCACTCTTTCACCCCTTTTCTCAAAGTCGTCAGAGAAATGCGCCTAGTCTTATCCAATCTGTTACTCAGGCGTCCCCGTCTCGAAATTCTTTAACACGCCAGTTTATGGCCGCATGGGCATTTGACGATAACGAGCAAGGAGGAACACGGGTGTTGCACACTGGACGTTGTTTACTTTCTATTTTTACTCCCGGAAAGCGGGTTGCCAGTGACAGGCTGCTGTGGGAAGCACGCCATCGCATCACTTTTATTTTTGCATCTACCGCGCTCAACCAGCCGCAGAGGGTGAGGGTTCATTGGGATTTGCCCCTCCCATCTGTACGAAAACCATGCGCATGCTTAAGTCTTCGTGCGTATTCATAAATATTTCTCTCTGCCTGTGTTTATCAGGTAGTAAAATCTTTAGTTTGTCGCAAGCTGGGTGGTGATACAAGATTTTGAGCAGTTTTTGTTCTGAATCTTGCGCAAATCTAAGCAAGAAAGATGTGTACCTATCTCTGTCGTAGTCTTTGTTGGCATTGCTAAATTTTCTTGACTGCTTGAATGTGCAGTCTGTTCCATCAGTCCAGTAAAGGCTATTGAAATTCAACTTACAAAAACATGGCGATAGCAGCGTAGAACGCTGTAGTATATAATAATGTTTACCTTAACGAAAGCACTTTTTTAGCTGTTGATATTACAAGACGTAAATCAGTCCACAAAAATGTTTTTGAGAATCTATTCGTAGAAGCACATATCCTCAGCCAAGCAATAGAATCGAGTGAGGCAGTGTTCAGGCACAAATGCACGGCAGATAATAATAGGCTCACCTTCATGTCCCTCTTTACGTACGGGAACCTCCATTGCTCCGACCGCACCTGAAAGATAAGAAGACGTTTATTCTTAGTTCACATGTTTTTACGAGTTTCTGTTAGACGCAAAGGAGATGTCATAAAGTGCGAAGGAAATCAGAGACCCAAGTCGTCGTCCATTCATGAACTTCATATGACGCGATCACGGTCACAGTAAAGTGCTCAATGCGGGCCACAGAAAAGCTACAGCAATGCTCAAAACCGGGCTAAAATTAATGAACAAGCCCAAATAAATTAGCTAAGAGATATCACCGTGAATTAATCGTATTAATTAACTTAATATCACTAAAACATTTCGAAAACATGGGCTTGACTCCTACGGGTTGTAAGAGAGGGTGCCACCACCTCGCCGGGCGAGCGACTGCTCCTGTCATCGCACCTGCTCTCATTGCACCTGCTCCCATTGCACCTGCTCTCATTGCACCTGCTCTCATTGCGCCTCATCTCATTGCATCGCTGAGGCGCTAACTGACTACGTCTGATGAGAAAAACAAAAACTCGATGCAGATAACGCGTATCTCGACTGCCGTAACAAGCAGGAAGTAGCACACATGTTGCTCGCGCTGAGTTTTCGAATCTCCATGTCAAGATTCTGCTCGTGCCAGTGAAACTCTACATGCTCATGATGATAAGGGGCGCGAAAAAAACGACACACAACAGAGAAGAAGTACACGGGACGACGCGCGTCGTCCCGTGTACTTCTTCTCTGTTGTGTGTCGTTTTTTTCGCGCCCCTTATCATCATGAACCAGCACCAACTCGCCCAACTTTTTACTTTACTCTACATGCTCACCTCAAACATTGGCGTCATCGACGCTTTGGGAAACGGAGCAGCGGGCGGAGCTCTCCGTGCTACGCACTTCGTAAGGTATCAATGTATAATAGAGCTGCTTTGGTGTCTGTTTTTGTTTTTTAGACATTTTTGCGCTTTTCCATAGTATCACCAAATACCAACAAACAAGAGAAAACGAAACGCAGATTTCTTCCAGCGCTGTGAAGATGGAAGATTGGCCCAGCGAAGATGTGGTCGAACAACAAGCAGCTGCCGCGCCTTTGCACCCACTCATGCTTCTGCAAGCACTCCTTCCACCCCCGCTCTTCTTCTTCCGAGCAAACCGCACGCGTTCGGGTCATCATGACGGTTTTCGAACAGCGACTGCCGAATACAGTGCTAGCGCAATCTCTACGTCACAAGACAAAAAGGGCGCGACGATTGGTGGAAAGTGTTTCCGCCGAGTATCGCGACACTTGTGAAACAGGCATCAGTGGTAGCGGGGTGCTCCTGCAATAGGGCATATTATGTGTAAACCAATATATATATATATATATATATATATATATATATATATATATATATATATATATATATATATATATATATATATTCGCCATCGAAAACTATTGTATCACGTATCATTATGCCCGCAAACGCGATCAGCCAGGCCCTACCCTTATAAAGGCTCACTGTAAACTCAAACGTACAAAAGAGGTTTCCACGCATAACGTGGTTTTCCGCTGCCTCCAAGATCGGAGGCACTTCACTGGGTTTCGCACCACCTCCGGAATCAGTCCACATTTGAGCAAACTACGATCTCACGTGATAATGTAATCGCGTGATGTTACGTCTATGAAACGTCACGATGGCATCATAGGGACGTTACAAATTTTGAGGATCTGTGACGTCGTGATGACGTCGTAAAATTTATCAGGGGATGATGTGATGTGATGACGCCATCCCTTGAGAACTTCTTATACCCCACTTACGTTGACGCCACCGACGGGAGACGCTGGACGCCGGTCAACTTGTGCGCTTTGTGAAGCATCCAAGGCGTTCGCTTTAAAAGACATGCTGTTCATGATTTCTTGGCCCCGGACACAAAGTAACGCCAATATCCGTCGAGTCGAAATATATATAGCCGCGCGATATATAGGCTGCCGTTAATTAACTTGTCTCGAGCGACGTGTCTTGTAAACACGCTTGCCTTACGTGGGATTCTTCACAATCGTTCAAGCGTGGAACTTTAAAAGTCAATATTTTGCGTATTGCTCTCACGTGCGACGAAACTAAAGAAGCATCTGTTCCTCATACTTCGGAACGTATGAAAAAAAAATAACAAAGAAGGAAATGCTCCTTCAAGTTTATGAAAAAAAAAAGTGCGAAAACGGGACAGTGAACACACGGGACAACTGCCCATGTAAGAACCCTTGAGATTCTCGAAGACTGCTTGCTTGCAATAAGAATATTTGTGCGAAAAAACCCGCTTCGAGGAAGCTTTAATTAAAACAGACAGAGGCTTATCTGCGTGCGTGTTTCATCTGCATGGTAACTAACTAACTAACTAACTAACTAACTAACTAACTAACTAACTAACTAACTAACTAACTAACTAACTAACTAACTAACTAACTAACTAACTAACTAACTTGTTAACTAACTAACTTGTTAACTAACTAACTAACTAACTAGTTAACTTGTTAACTAACTAATTAGCCAATTACGCATTGAATAACAATTCATTTCATAATAAGTACTTATCTGTTATAATTAACTACATATTAACTGATAAGCTAACCAGTTGACTAATTAACTAACTAACTAACTAACGAACTGATGGATCGATTGATCGATATGTGTGGTTTAACGTCCGAAAACGAACTAACTACAAACGTACTATCCGTGTGAAATGAAACCGGAAAAGCGGCTAACATTCGCGAGTTAAGACCTCGAACCGACGCTCGCATCCGGTTCAGCGTCTCTGCTCATATATATGCAAGCCTGCTCACGGTGATAAGTGGACGGCGCGCACTATACCATCGCGAAGGCTTGCCGATGTTCGGGTCTCATTCGACGTAGATAGTACACACACATGCACAATACGCTCTGTGGCTGAAATATCCAGCGTCTGAAACTAGATTGGCTAGTCTCTACGTATTTCTTCGTTTTCCGTCTTTTTGTTCCAAACTGTGTAGAGACGAAGTCGTCTTGCCATCCCGCTTGGAAATGAACGTAAGCCGCGGAGTGAGGGTGTGAGAGAAGTTGAAGGAAAAGAAGGCGGTGAACTTTAATTAGGGCGGGCACCGTCCGAGATTAAGAGGAGACGGCGCAGCGAGCGGGCCTCTAGCTCGTTGCGCTGGCTGGCAGCGGAGATCGATTTTTCCATTAGAATGACACGTGCCAGGCTCCGTACGGTTGAGGAGGAGCCCGTGTGTGCGCGGTCAGTGTCCGTGCGACCGGACTTCGAGCGATTCGCGAGATTTGAAAACACGGACCCGTATCTTGATTACACCGAAGACAATCACGAGATAAAGAGTTTGCTTTCTTGATCGAGGCCTCAGAATCTGCGATTGAGGTTTTACGTTTATGTTAGCTATTTTTTTGCTTTTACGCACGACCTTCTCGCAGTTTTTATCTGAGGGAGCTAATCTGTTCTATCAGATTTATTACCCACCTGCTGTGGCTGGTGACTTTTATTTTACGCTTGCTACATTTTGCACGTGAAACAGGGCTAAAGCAATAGGTAGCACAGGAAAAATGAAGCATACACACCGTCGCATACCTCTTCTCTCGTGCAACATTTTCTTGCGCTTTTGTACAAAGCTGCTAACTTGTGAAGTAGATCTAGTGTGTATATTATATTTAGTATGCCGATCTCACCGACGAGAAGCGATGGGAAGGTCTTTTAATCGCAACAAGGGTAACTGGAGCATATCGCACTAATTAACCGCTTCAGCTCTCAGGTAACAATTTGCATGTGAACCAAAATTCAATATGTGACAATCTGCAGAGCAAGCAGTTAATTAAACTTGTTTTCTCAACGAAAAAGGCAAATAAGCTGTTTATATAATGCTTTTTTTTTTCACGCAGAACAGTGCAGTTTTAGTCCAGTATATTTTCCTAGAGTTTTATAGGATCGCTAGTGAAATGCACCGAACTATACCATTTTCGCAGTTCGTGTCAGGTGTACCACCTTGTATCGCTTCCTGCAGCCTCCGCTGATATCCGCATGCTTGAACGTATAGTCGGTGCTTGTGGCGGCGATTCCGCCTGGTAACAAATTCTCATATTTATATACCCCGACAGCTGTCACGGACGACGGCTCGATTAAAGCGATGTTGCGTCTCTTCTTTCGGTACCTAACGGCACCTTTCGTGACAGCTTCCTCGGCATGGTATTTTTTTTTTTACTTCGCGTGATGAGAAACTAAAGGGCTTACTTTTCTATTTTTACGATGTAAGGATAGGCTCTTATCTTTCGCAACTTCACCACTCCCACAGAGACAGCGGCGGCGATTTTTTTTTCTTAACAGAAAGACGAGAAAAGGTACAATATAGATACAAAAAAAAGTTACGAATAGGAACGCGGACGAACTTGTTCTTGTTTCTCGCCAAGGCTGTGGGAACGAAGAACACGAAGTCGAAGCCAAGCCAAGCGTGCGGCAAGCCAGCGCACAGCTGACCGTGAAACGCCTTCCGCGCAAGCTGTTACGTCTTCAGACACTTCTTTAAAAACATGACATGTGCGGAACATGTGTTCTCGTGAAGTGCTGCGGCGGCTCACTTTTGCTGCCGCCTGAGACAGCTCACGCTTCGCGGCCTTTTAAGTGATCTCTTTCTCTCTCTATTCGTCCGCGTTTGGGACGCGCTTTCAGCGGAGATGGCGTTGCGCGTTTCGGAGGACGTGCGCGATGTGTATGTGTGAGGTTGGCGAGTATATAGACTCCGAAACTCGGGACACGCACCGGTAAACAGCCATTGACAGAATTATTAAAGATACAGGCAAGCGTTCGTAACTCAAATTTAGATAACCCAACTGATATATTGTATATCGTGTTGGCTAAAACATGCCCCGTTTTTCTTATCAGGTGCGGGTTTATCTTCTCATTTTTTCAGTAAGGTAACATCGACGGGCCTCACACGGCAACGTTGCGAAGCTGTACATGATGATGACCACGTGACCTCAAACTGGTGCACGCCTTTCACGGTCTCTGTATGTGATAAACACAGCAC